ACGCTATTTTTAGAGCTGCCTCTGCTCTTCATCTGGGGGTAGGAGGAGGAGCAGGGGGAGGGGAGCTACCCAGACATTCAAGATCCCATCAAAGGTTCATGATTGAAAATGCTGCATGTGCACCTCGTACAGTCCTGCTCTCGTCGACCTACATCAATTTATCAATTTACTGGGGCCGGGAAGCGGGGGAACGAATCAAAGCCCCCACTTAGACCGCTACCCTGAGTCCTTCCAGCCCAGCCCCCGGAGTCTCCCAGCAACCCATCCGGCCATACCGGATCCCTCAGGTCCACAGTCATGGAACACTCTAGAACCTACCCAGTGACTCTGAAAGTGTGACCGTCTTGTCGGAAGGCTCGGGAATTGGGCTGAGCTAGATAGCACGGTCGCTGACGGTGAAGGGGCCCTGACTCAGGCTGAGGCTGTGGAGCAGGATCTATTATGGTCTCCACTTGGCAGATGAGGAACGGTGAGGCCAGGAGATGCAGGCAACACCAAGGTCACCCAGCTGGGCAGTGTGGACGGACTCCAGGGCTCCCGCTCCTTGCCTTGCTTTCCTGGGGCAGACCCCTGGCAGCCAGCGCCTCGTGGAGGAAGTCAGGACTTCGAGGTGCTCTTCCTTTTGGGAATCAGAGCGTGGCTCGCTGCCAGCCCCTGGACACTTGAGGCTCTGTTGTTGGACACAAACTCTTCTGGCAAATGGAAGATGGGTAAGAGAAACTGGTGGTCTTTGACTCAAGGAGGAGGTGGGCCGGAGTTGAAAGAGTGGAAGGGCTGGGGCGGGCACTGTGGCGTAGCAGGTACAGCTGCAGTCTGCAGTGCCGGCATCCCATATGGGCACCGGTTTGAGTCCCGGCTGCTCCACTTCCAATCCAGCTCTCTGCTATGGCCTGGGAAGGCAGTGAAACATGGCTTAAGTCCTTGTACCCCTGCACCCACGTGGGAGACCCGGAAGAAGCTCCTGGCTTCGGATTGGCACAGTTCCGGCTGTTGCAGCCAACTGGGGAGTGAACCAGCGGATGGAAGACCTCTCTCTGTCTCTCTCTCTCTGTCTTTCTCTCTGCCGCCTCTTCTCTCTGTGTAACTCTGACTCTCAAATAAAAAAATAAATCTTTAAAAGAAAGAAAGAAAGAGCAAGCGAGCGAGTGGTAGGGCCCCTGGAGGAATTTACATGGCGGAGGAGTTCAAGTACATGGCCCATGGAACGTTCTCAGACCCTCTCCCACCTTTGTAAAGAGCCTTCGCCTTCCAGAATGTTCCTCACTTTAGCATAGCCATTAGCACTCAGCTGTGGCCCTAGATGATCACCTTGACTTCAGGAAATCTTGCTTTTCAAGTTTTCAGGCCACTGTGGAGCAAGAGTCCACACGTCTGGATGACAGCAGGTATTTCGTGCTCCACAGTTTTACGGCTTACCAGCATCCCAGCCCTGCCGTATGTGGGCAGGATAATTAAGGTCTGGTCTACCCAGCTGTCTGCTGTGGCTGGACCCTCCCAGACCCCAGAGATCACAAGGCTGCTGGGGACCCTTAGGCTCCCGTGGCATTAGGTGATTTTATATCCTGTCCATCCAGCTGTCCAGTCGGGTCCCCTTCCTTGCTCCTGACCATCCCAAGGCAGGAGAGACCCAACTTACACCCTGCAAGTCTTGAAGGCAATCATCATCCCTGTCATTTTTTTCTCCCTTTGAGGGCCTGCAATTCAAACTGCTTGCTGACCTCTTTGGACATGTGAATGGTCCTTCCTGGTACCTTCTGGAAGCAGGACTGTGCCCCAGGCCTGGGATGCAGGAGTTAGCATGGCTGGAGGCTGCAGTCACCTGATGTGTAACCTGGGCCGGTCCCTTCACCCTGGCTGCCCTGGGTAATTTACCAGACTCACCCTCCCTATCCCTGGGTGGCTGCCAGGTGTGTGGGCGGGCTTGAAAATCAGTCTCCTGACTCCTGAACCACTCGGGGAATCCCAGGAGTCCCTCCCAGGGACCAACGCGGAAGAGCTCAGTTTAACCCTCTGCTGCCCAGTTTCTGAAGCAGACACTAGGAGAACAAAGCTGGGTCCAGAGAGTGTGCAGCTCCGGTTGAATTCTTGTTCTATCTCCATTCGGATTTCTACTTAGGATAGGGGATCACTTCTGAAATTGTTCCTCCTGTGTGGCTTCCGATTCTCACTCCATCCATAAACGGGGCTTGTAGCATGTGTCACTCAACTCCTACTTCTATTCTAGGCACTAAGGGAACAGCAGTGAAAAAAAAAACCCCAGCTAAAAATCCCTGTCTCCCTGGAACAAAACAGCTAAGTGTGGAAGTTCCATTCTGTGGATTCTGGAGGAAATGAATGAGACAAGTAAGTCACGTGTGCTGTTGCACTTGGGAAAGTGATCACTGCTAAGGAGGAAAATTCAGGCAGGGGAGGGCGATAGGCAGTGTCCCTGAGGGGAGAAGTCAGGCCAGGCTCAGCAACTTTGTATGCATCTTTCAATCAATCACAGGACTCTCCGCGCTGCTCTACTTCCTGTTGTCTGTCTGGAAGACCCAGACACCAGCACCAGTACCAGCACCAGCACTCGGCATACGGAAGGGGATCAAGAAATATTTTTAACAGAACATTAAAGTGCTTTCCATGTGGTGGCCATGAGCTTTAAGGTAAACTGCATATCCTTGAATTCAGATGACAAGGATCCACGGGAGATCCCAGCATTCCTCAGCACCTTCACTGGGTCCTGCGTCTTACTGGTGTGTTTCCAGACTGTAATTTTAGCCAGGGAACATTCCACTTACATTTTTTTAAAATAACACTGAAATCTTTGACATAATAAATCCTTCCATTAGACTCCCAGCTGATCAGTTGTATGCATCCCCAAAGCAGCCTGGGCTTACCTTGCTGTAGGTCTTTGTGCAAACTCAGTCACCCCTCAGCCTGCTTTGCATGAAAATGCGGCTCCAACGCCAAACAAACTTTGGAGTTTGCAGGGCCAAAAAGAGCGCAGGAACTTTAACCACCCAGTCAGTGGTGTCAGGTGGTGGTGACCACCAAGACTATGAATCCCTCTGAGTCCAGCCCGGAGCGAGTGAGAGGCTCTGTCTCCGAGGTGCCATCCCAGGGCTAGGGTTTTCAGATCAAATAAAGGATGCAAAGTGGGATTTGAGTTTCTGATAAACAAGGAAAGCCTTTGGAGTTCAAAACTGCATCAGATACCACACCTGAGGGGCCACCTGGGGAGTGAACCAGCAGATGGAAGACCTCTCTCTCTCTCTCTCTCTCTCCCCCTCTCATCTCTCTGTGTAACTGACTTTAAAATAAATAAATAAATCTTAAAAAAAATCACACCTGAAGTCATCCAGGATTCACAAACTGGGAAGCTAAAACCCCCCATGCAGGTTTTCAGCCAGCAAATGTGAGCTCAGATGGCTACGGGGTCACTGGCGTTCCTCTGTGAATCACCTTATTCTTGAACCACAACTACACGTTTAGGTAAAGCAACAAAGACCCCGCAGTTAGACCAAGGCAACAGCCTGCTCTGGTCAACTTTGTAAACTAAAGTGAGACCAAACCCCTGTAACAAGGATAAAAATGAGGAAATGGGGCCCCCCAAAGAGACAGCTGCCAGCTCACACCAAAGGTTTCTCAGAATAGAACCAGCGCGCCGTGTATGACATCGACAGGTGAGCAGTCGGAGAGAACCAGCGCTGGGCAAGATGCGTTCCTCTCCATCAGCTTATCTGACCCAGAACATTCTGTCAAATGGGTCGGGTGGATTACAGCCACCTGCTGTTGAGGTCACCAAGGGTCAGCCAGGCATTGCCTTCCTCCACCTAAAGTCACCCAGGTGAGTCTCCACAGGCACGACCAGGGCTTGTTTTTCACGATACCTCTGTTTCGGGTGAGATAATAGGTACTCCTGTTTCAGGGTCTTTAGAGGTAAACACACAACTCGATTATGTCTCATAAACAGAAACAAAGCAGGAAGTCAGACAGAGTCACCAGATCTTTAACCCACTTCACACACAGAGAAAGGGTTAAGCGGTCGAGAATCCCTGCCAGTGTCTGGGCATTGCTCTGTCTACGGATGTCTCCAGGCAGGAAGGGTGTTCTGGAGGATGTTGGGAAAGATTGTGAACAGGGAAGCATAGGATCTGATGTGCAGGGACAGGGGAGAAGGAGGTACCCACAGGGACACACAGTGAGTCTCATTTGGGCCCTGCACTGTGAAACGTGTGGCATATCATTCCTTCCCCGCTGTTTGCATGCCTGAATACTTCTCATTCTTCAGGTTTCCCCCGAAACAGCTCCATCTCAGAGAACTTCCCCGACCTCGCTCTCTGCAGAGGCCTCCCTGCCCCTCTCTTGAACTTGCTCGCTGGCATTACATTCTGAAGCCAGGGGACAGCTCCTCCTCACGCACCGGGACGGCGGGCTCCAAGAAGGCAGGGACTGAATCTGTCTCATTGGCTTGTCCAGTGTCTGTCATACTACCAGGCATGCAGTAGGTGTCAGCAAATATGCTGCATATTAATGAAGGCTCAGGAAATACATAGTTATGCTCCATCTCTCCGGAAAGAATGTCGACTAGTCATTCAACTGCACTAGTAACGCCACCCTAAGTAGGAAGTGGAACTACGTTTCCAGGGAGAGAGGATTGGTCAGAAGTGAAAAACTGGCGCACAGAGCCATGAAGCATTTTTCTCCAGGTCATACTGTACCCCGTGAATTTATGACTCCTGGACCGACTGCAGGACAGCTTGCAAACAAATTATCTGCAAACCAACAAAGCCTATTTTTAAAGATCCCTGTGCCTCGCAGCTCTAGGCGATGACATCAGACAACCAGGAGTTCCACCTCCAAGCCAACCCTCGTGGTTCTCGAAAACTACGAACCCCATGATGCATTGCGACACAGGGGCCCAGAGCCCCGCGCGCGTCCCTCTCCGGAGCGCCCGAGGCCACCGCCCTTGGAACCAGGAAGACGCCGCCGGGGACCGCGCGGGGCCTGCCGGGATTTGTAGTCTCCGCGCCTGGGAGTGCCCGCTCCGGAATCTCAGCCGCCGTCTGGGCGCTGAAGCTGCGCGGGCGCGCTTGCGCAGTGTGCGGGCGGGCCGTCGTGGGCGCCGTCCCGGCAGCTCCGTGCCTGTGGGAGCCCGAGCCGCGGCAGCGCGGGTGCTCCGGGCCGAGGCCGCGAGAAAGTTTGGCGTGAGGAGAGCGCCGCGCTGGAGCGGGACGAGACTGGGCGCGAAGCGGCGGTGGCGGGGCTCCGGGAGCGCCGCGCCGGCTGAGGCGAGCGGGGAGGCGGTCGCGCGTCCGCCCGGGGGCCGGCGGTGCCGGTGAGTGCGGGGCCGGCGCCCCGTCCCCGCCTGTGTCCACCCTGCGCGCCGCCGCACCTGGGCGAGGCCGCGGGCCCGCTCACCTGCGCGGGGTCTCGGGGCGGCGTCCTGCTGCCGCAGCTCCCCGCTGTTCGCCTGCCCTCACCCGCGGCGGGGCCGGCCCGCTGGCGGGTCGCCGGGGGCTGCGGCGCGCCCCCTCGCTCGGCGGCGCGGCCGGCCAGCTGTCCGGGGATTCCCGGCGGCCACGCCTGTCGGGTGGCTCGGCTCCAGGGCCGCGTCCGCGGGCGCCCCTGGGTGGGGAGGCGCCCCCGCCCTGGCCGGGGTCGCGCGCAGCGGCGGCCGCCTCGCACCCCGGGCAGGTGGGGCCCGGGGCCGCCGAGCGGTCTGGGGGTTTGTCTCGGATGCTCCCTGTGCCCCTCGTGGGGAGCTCGCGGAGGGGAAGGCGCCGTCGGAAGGAGGCGGCTTCTGCTTAGGCTCCGTGGGCGCGGGTCCAGGGCGTTTGCACCTCTGGCCTCGGCATCGGATCCCGCTGGTTTCCTGACTTTGCAGTCGCAGGTTGTCTATTTTAACAAGATTTGCTTTGCGTTAATGAAGCCGTTGCCCTTTGTGAATTAGTTTTCCAACTCGAAAATCTTATTTCCGGTGTGTTGAACGACTGGAACAAATAGCACTCCCCGAGGTTTGCACCATTGTCTTTTATCTTAGCGCTCCTGGTCAGTCTGCTTCATTTCCTCCCAAGTACGAAGCTTGTGTGCTTTCTGTGTCGTTGCCTGCCTTCCGAACAGTTTAGAGCAACATTGGAATTTTGATCTGAGAAAAATTGTGAAAAAAAAAAATCAACTCCTGAAATGATTTTTCTTAGCAATCCGAAGGACTTGAAAAACTAATTTTTAAGCAGGCTTGTTCTGAAGTGCATGTTGTGCGTTTCTTTCTCTTAATTGTTGATGTTGACACACTTGTGGCAAAAAAATATTTCCTCAAATAGAGTTTGTTTAAATATTTATCCTGGCCGGGTTCTCCCGAGGGAAAGTGCATTTTCGAATACTGATACATTCGTGCAGGAATAAGCTCGCCGGATGCGAGCACTAGGTCGTGTGTGGTGTGGCGCGCGGGTCCTACGGTGGTCAGTGACAGCTGTCTCTTGAGTTTACTTGGCATCATTTGGCTGTGAGTTTGTACTGTGGGATAAGCGGTGGCTAACTTTCCTGATATTAAAGATGTGATCGATCTACCTGCCTTCACTTCCTAGCTCGCTTTATCTTGTTAATTAGTATTTTTATTGTTGCTTTGGGGAGGCGGGCCAGGAGCGGACTTGTATCTTTGTTCCCAGTTTTAGCCATGTGGCTAGATAGGAGACCCTGTGTAAGTTTGGGTTTGTCATAGACAGGGAGAGACAGCAGGACAGGAAAAGTGCACAATTGTGAGGAGACTGCCATGAGTTCACAAGCCGGAAGGACCTTTTTAGAAATGTTTAGAGTGGTTAAGAATAGCGTTTGGTTCTTTCTTTAAGAAGTCACTGGGCGGTACTGGACTGCTGTTTGATAACATTTGGGTTATGATGATACTGACACTTCTGGGAAGATCCTTGGGAAAGAGAGATCAATTTTACATTTTTTATAGAGATCTTTCCTTCCAAAACATTTAATGAAGCTTTTTAATAAGTGACTTTTTGACTTAAGTCTGAAAGCTTTTACTATTATTAGTCTTACTGCAGATCCCACAGTTATCTTGACTGTAATAATACATTAATTCAAAATGAAATCTTAAGTCATTTATTAGCATAATTTAAGTTAGACTTTGACATTGACTATGTTTGAAGTTGGTTGTTCTTGTTCTGTTTAACTGTCATTTAAAAAGGGAGAAAGATAGTTTTCTGCAGAGAATCTAATTCTTCAGATGTGACAGTAGTTATACTCTTACTGGGGAGAAGATTCCAAGTACTATACAGGTGGCAACTCCCGCATTTGCTTCCAGCTGTGGGCAGAGGTGATATATATAAAGAATTACTTTCTCATTTGCTGAGCAGCTTACTTTTGGTAATATTAAAGCATAAAGTGTCAAGGTTTTTTAAAATCTCATTTCAGATCTGCAGTGTTAAAATAAAATGGCTTCACTAAGGTAAATGTTAAAGCTTAATTTTAGGTCTTTGGACCATTGCTGAGTACACAGCGTTTGGAAACTTACTGACATGGTATCTGAAAGGAGCTCTTGGTGCAGAGACTTGATTGCTTTAGGTGCTTGTCTGTAATGCTTATTTGTAGAAAAATAGAAATTATGGAATATTTTTCTATAAAAATAAAATTTTCTGTTGATACTTGCTATAGTAGGACTTTGTTATACTGAATGAGTAATGTTAAACTTTTTAAACCTAATATTATTTCCTTGTGGGTGCTGTGTAGTAAAGAATATGACTTTGTAATTCCTGTAAGATATTTAAGCAACTATATGTTTGCTGTTTATTTTAGTATGTCATTTGACTAGTTGAATTGCTTTGATTCCGGAAGATAGTGTTTGGGGGGAATTTATAAGCAAGCTTCCTTTGAACTGGAATTTCTATTGAATATGAGAGAGTATTTTTTTAAAAAGATCAAGGAAGTTTTACTTAGAGTAAGATGTTGCTTGCTAGATGGGTCCCTTATTCTGCAATAGTTGTGGTTTTGCCTCTTTAAGTGGCCTGGCCTTTTATGGCTCAAGATCTCTACATCTTGGATTGAGTTTACTTTCTTCTGGAAGCAAGGACAGTCACAGACAGGAGAACTGGAGGCATCCCCCGGGTTTCTGATGCAGCATCTTCCCCAGTACAGGAGTCCCCCAGGAGGATTTCCTCGGCAGGTGGGCAGGTGGCAGGTGGGCAGGTGGCTCCTATCACCAAGGGTGGTAATGCCCTTGAGATGCTGGCAGGTTATTGAGCAGCGTGAGTTGGTGGCAACAACATAAAGACAGTCTTGATTCTCACCGTTCACTGCTGTCAGCTGGGCTTTGTAGGATCTTCTCTTTCCCGACCCCTGCCTTGTGACATTATAGGTGGTTTTTCTATCATTTACTGCTATTGGAAGCTCTAGCCTCATCTATTCCGGTTTAAACCTTCAATCTCATGTTCAGTTTAAAGCACCTTTCCTCCCTTACCCCAGATCTGGAAGGCTAGGGAGAGTGTGGGGTGCTCCTGGGACACATGCTTTTTTCATCCCCCTCTTCAGAGATGCACTTGGACAGAGGTTAGTCAGAAGAGAAATGCGAATCGGCCAGTCTTTCTTAGCCCTCTCTTGAGTAGCAGCAGCAGGCCATTGATGTGCACTGATTGGGGAGATCTGCAGGGACACTCCCTGCTCACAGTTACAGATGGGAAGTTTTCTGTGGCTAAACTTTTTCCAACCTACACACCCCCCTGCCTGGTCCTCCTGAGCCTTCAGTCCAGACCCTGGTTCCTGGGAGTGTGTATGGGGGTGAGTAGAGGTGGATATCTTCTCTTTGCGGCCACATTTTTGACTACAGCAAGAGCATTAGTGTAGGTACTGGTGCAGTTTCCAGTCAGCACGCTGGAAACTCACGTCCATGAATGGCAACTGCTGGCATGCCGGCTGCTGAAGTTTGGCCTTGTTTTTGTGCCCTGCCATTTCTGGTCAGTTCTCTTTGTCCGTTTGTTCAGGTAGTCACAAGCCAGTCACTCAGTCCACTGCACCAGTAGACACTGAGCTGTCCAGTCTCTCCTTGTCAGCACTTCTGATTTCGGTGAGTGATTTCTCCCAGAGGGCCTTGCCACTGTTCTGAGTGAAAACCACTTTTGCTTTTCTTGTGTTCTCTCTGAAGACTTATAAGAATTCTAATTCTTTCCTTCTCTTCTGATAGCTGCTTATATAGGGTGGAAGGCTGGTAAGGTGGTGGTTAGGTTGCCAGAGCCCTGAGGGGGCTGTGTGTGTGTGTGTGTGTGTGTGTGCTGAAATCAACCCCTGGTCAGCTTTTTGTCTGTCAGTGATTCTGGGGTAGTAGGGATACTGGTTCCACCAGGCATCTTATTAACATAACAACGAAGTCCTGTGGCCCTGAAGTTCTTGATGGCTCCATGTAGAATTTAATTTTCTTTCTGTATTTCTCTTTCCTTACAACTTTTATTTTTGGATTACTTCCTGGTTCCTGACTGATGAAATGTTAGCTGTGGGCCGGCGCCGCAGCTCACTAGGCTAATCCTCCGCCTAGCGGCGCCGGCACACCAGGTTCTAGTCCCGGTCAGGGCGCCGGATTCTGTCCCGGTTGCCCCTCTTCCAGGCCAGCTCTCTGCTGTGGTCAGGGAGTGCAGTGGAGGATGGCCCAGGTGCTTGGGCCCTGCACCCCATGGGAGACCAGGAAAAGCACCTGGCTCCTGGCTCCTGCCATTGGATCAGCGCGCCGCGGCGGCCATTGGAGAGTGAACCAACGGCAAAGGAAGACCTTTCTCTCTGTCTCTCTCTCTCTCACTGTCCACTCTGCCTGTCAAAAAAAAAAAAAAAAGTTAGCTGTGAATATGTTTATTTATGACTGATTTATAAGATCTAATATACCTTAGAGCATGAGTAAAGCGGAATTTAAACTTTTTGGAGGAGAATTTTAGTAATAGAGCTTTATCTGTTGTTACTTCACACTAGCTTGACTAAGAATATAAATGCAAACAGAAATACGAGGTTTGAACTTTCTTCCTTTCATCATCTAGACAAACCAGTCACCTGCTAAGTGATTTCTTGTCTCATGAGGAGAAAGCAGCTTTCTGTCTGGAAACTTGAATATTAACATGTGATGCAGTAATTATGGGTTACCTAATACTTCATTAAACAGATAGTTTTTGAGTGACTTCCCTGTGCCAGCCACTGTTTTAGGCATTGGAAAAACAACAGTAAATAACAACAGCAACAAAATCTCTCGGGAAACAAACGAGAAACAGGCAGATGAGTAGTATTGGCTCGACAGTGGTGCATGCTAAGAAGAGTGAAGCAGGGCAGAGAGATAGGAAGTGGCAGACAGTTTGTAGG